GGCTTAAGACTTAAGAAGAAATTGAAGGTTTCAAGCAGCTGAAGTAAGAGCTGATATTTATTTCATTCAGAACCAACTTGTGTGGTGTGACAAGTAGTGACCCGGGAGAACGTCACATGTTTGGCTTCCTATCTGTATATAGCGCAGGGTATTATGATGCGAACTGAATGTTCGACATATTATTTTATTAAACACCTTATTTGAATTTATAACTATGTTTTTATGTTGACTATTATTCACTTGTACGTGTACTGTATGTGTGCGCAGTCACTAGGCTAACGTGTCAATTGTCTATTCTCAAAACGAGGTGACATCGCGCACTGACTGTCATCCTCGTTAATACCAGGCCACACATAACAGTTACTAACTACAAGGTAGCCCAAACACCGGGATTGGACAATGAATGCAATGCATTAAAAACAGTGCGACGCATACTCTTAGGGACAAAAGGGCGAGGTGTCTTGTAGTCATATTACACACATTGTACTCTCTCCTGTATGTATCGGGATCTGTTGGACTAGTGACGAGACCTAGAGGCAACCAAACTCCATCGACCAGCTGTTGTAGAGCCCCACCTACTGCGAAATCTGATGCATCAACTACTAAGCAGAGATCGTCTGCAACGTCTACACGAGGGTGAAACAAGAGGGATGCCTTAGACAATGTTGCCTTAATCGCCTGAAATGCAATCACTGCGTCAGGAGGTAGATGCAGCTTCCGTTTAGGGTGCCCTTTAGGCAAGTCAGTTAAAGGGCGTATAAGCTCGGCACAGTGGGGAAAGAACCGACGATAATATTTGATCAACCCCACAAAATCTCGAAGCTGTTTAACAATGTCAGGTATTGGAAACTTTTCGATAGCTTCTACCTTAGCTACCTACCTATGCAGGGGACGAATGCCGACTGAGCTCACTGCATGTCCTATTCCAAGTCAGGTACACCAAGTAAGCATTTCTATGCCTTTTCTATTAAACCAAACTTGTCGAGACGTGTAAATAACTGCGAAGGTGACTCTCGTGCTCAGCTGGGGTTCTACTAGCGACCTACAAATAACCTAAATAGGCGTAAACATATCCAGCCCTTGAACAACACTGTCAATAAACCGTTGAAAAGATTGCGCCGCATTGCGAAGGCCAAATGGCATGCGTAAAAATTCAAATAGGCCAAAAGGCGTATTATGTGCAGTCTTTGCACAAACAGTTGCTTCAAAATAGAAGGCTCCGAATCACGTTCTCCCAACAAATATGCATCTTGCGTAATAACGGACTCTGCTTGAGGTCCTCAGTTCCTCAGTGGTTAACAGTTGGTGTAAGTGTTTCTGCTCTGTCCTTTTTACCAGCTCTTCCTTCAACCTGTTATATGGCATATCCTGCGGAGGATTAAGCAATAAATCTCACACTTTCTGTGCAATTTAAGGTTGGAGAGAAGCAATAACATAAGCATAACGTGTAGCTTCAACAGTAATCCCCCTAGTTACAAATTGAGCCTCGACTTGGGCAAACCAAATATGAGGATCGTTTGGCCAAAACGGCGGTAATTTTGAGCTAACGGCGGCTACCGCAATGGGTGTAGCAGCTTAGATAGCAGCTGGTCCTACGCCTACGGACGGAGGTTGAACAGGGGCATGGCCTAAAGACGGGCCCAAATGCTGCTGCGTAGGAGCTGTATCTACAGTGCCAGTAGCTCCATCAGGCAGTCACGCGGTCATATTACTAGGAGTAGCCATACTTGGTCGAAACATAACAATACTAGCAAAATGCATTCAGAACTCGGCTCGGACACAATACCGCAGTTCGGGGTCACCACTTTAGTAATAAAATACACTTACCAATCTGCGTTCTTCAAAAGGTACCAGACCGTTGTGGAGTAAGTAAAAATGATTGTTACTGTAATTCGTCTGTCAGTCTACTGTACTGTCGTTCATGTCGTAAAGTGGGTCGTGCATGTGTGTTAGTGAGAAGAGAGCCTCGTGTATATAATGACCTAAGGTCACTAGTCTCTGCGCAGACCGATTTTGCTACTGATATTTTCGTAAAAAGTGACGCAACAACAAAAGAGACAATAGTTTCAGACGAGTTTAGACGGATAACCTTCAATTCTTTAGAATTATACACTTGGTGAGAGTTGTTACCAAGCTACGGGAGAGATTGTACATGGTCGATCCTGTGTAGGCCTAATTCACGATAGGACCAGATAGGACGTAATGAATTGCTGGATTTATGGATCTTAGGCGTGCAGTATATTCTCGGAGTGATGTCCGAGGAAGGGATAGATATTGTTTCTTTTTTTTTCTTTTCTTTTTCCCGTCTAGTTATTTTAGTTATTAATTTCTTCTTCAAATCGGAGGTGGGGTTGCTATGTAGCTTCTCGTACGTTTTTTTTCGTCCTACAGTATTATCTTTTACCTTCTCTTCATTATTCTGTTCTGTCCAAGATGACTGAGGTTAAGCCCTTATCTGCCGGTAATATTGTAATGGAATTGTCTGTTTTGATCATTCCAAGGGCTGTCCTTTCATCTTTAGTTATGGAGTAGGTTTTTTGCAGATTTAATTAGGCTTACCACTTTTCCTCTCTGAGTTGATGTCTCTCCGTTTTTTTTTTTTTTTGTAGTAAACCGGAAACCGATTCCGTAGCTACAATTAATTCCTCAATGGTCCTTAGGTTTAATGATTGCTTAATTCAGTCCCTTAGCTAGCACAGAATCCTCTTTACTGGTAAATGGTCGTTTTGAGAGATTTACTACCAATCTGTTTATTTGTGTTCTTGCTAAATGAGCTCTTGTTTCTTTTCAATGAGTTTTCTTATATTCACAACAATTATCACACATACGACAAACTTCTGAAAAAAAACCCAAACAAACTGGAGCTTATCTATCTAACGAAGCCCAACTGACAATAGGGAAAACTGTTATCAGCAAATAACAGTGAGAATAACATTGGTTTACTTAATGACATATTTTCTATGAATTTTTTTTTATAATTGTTGTGATCCACAGAAACATTTAAAATGCGTTTATCTGCTTCAAGATGAGCACAGAGATAATTTCTACTTCACCCAGCCCTCGAAAGAAGTAAAGCCCCAAATCTGCCCAGGAAACAAACTAATTCTGGATCTGGATTCGTACTCCTCAACGCCCCTAAAAGGAGCAAAGCGAGAAATTGTCGATGATTGTATGATATACAGTGTATCTGTTAAGTTTGTATCATCCTGTGCTGGGCATTTTGATCAACGGATAATATTCGAACTACGACATAAGATGTACATGAAGAGAGAAATTTCTGTTCACGTTGGATTACCAGAAGACGTTGATATACCCATAAATAGTGGCAGTATTCAGCACAACAGTTTACCATGGGAAGATGTTATACCATTTGAGGAAAAACCCGAGTTTCAGCAAATGTTACTAAATCAAGCAAAACCGTTCAAGCCAAAAACTACCGATGATAATCTTGTGAAAGGCCAGCTCTCAGAAAATAACTACACAATGATGATGCACAGGTTCATAGACATTGAAGAAAGAGGACGACAGACGATAATTCGACAGTAAGACATTAAGATGTATATATATATAAATATACATATATATACACATATATATATATATACATATATATATATATAAATATATATATATACATATATATCTGTATGCAACTGGCCTAGGCCCCTGTCCCC